TAGAGTGTGTTCCCTGCAGGGTCTGTAACAGACACTCCTTGTTAGAGCATGTTCCCTGCAGGGTCTGCAAGACACTCCATGTTAGAGCATGTTCCCTGCAGGGTCTGTAACAGACACTCCATGTTAGAGTGTGTTCCCTGAAGCCAGACCAGAGCTGACTCCCCGTGTGCTGACCCTGGAGCAGGCTCGCCCTCAGTGCTCACCGATGGGCCCGGCCTCCACGCCGTGCTCACCGCAGGGGCAGGAGCACTGCCCATGGGCCGAGGAGGTGGGAGGGCGGCTGTGGGGCCAGTTTAACACACGTCCCAGTGTGTTTCTGCCTTTTCTGGTATGAGCCTTGAAGCCAGACCAGAGCTGACTCCCCGTGTGCTGACCCTGGAGCAGGCTCGCCCTCAGTGCTCACCGATGGGCCCGGCCTCCACGCCGTGCTCACCGCAGGGGCAGGAGCACTGCCCATGGGCCGAGGAGGTGGGAGGGCGGCTGTGGGGCCAGTTTAACACACGTCCCAGTGTGTTTCTGCCTTTTCTGGTATGAGCCTTGCACGCATGTGTATGGAGCACACAACCATTTATCTCCGCTCCTGCGTGCACTCTGGTCACGCAGACCTTTCCTCATGATTCCTGGGCACCGGGAGAGCCAACGAGACTCGGTCCCTGTCCGCACAGCCCTCCCCCGCCCCCCCCCCAGCCACGCTGAGGCTTTTGCCACGGCTTGTGCTTGCCCTTGGGCAGCAAATGCCAATCGTGGGCTTCCGCGTGCTGAGCTGATTCAATGCGCTGCTGACGGTCAGATGAACGAACATGTGCGTTAAAGCCCCGCGCGTCGCGTCACCTACAACGCACTTCCACAGGGGAGCTGGAGCAGACGGGCTGCTCACCTTCCACAGGAGCCGCACGGACCTGTAGCCGTGAGCAGGGGACGGCTCCACCTTATACCAGAAGCTCGGTGCCTTGGACGGTCCTAAAGGAATGACATGCATCTAGTAAATGTTTTTATATTAACAGAAGCAACGCCTGGAAGTTACTCCCTCACGTTGTCCTTAACACCCTCAGCCGCATCCCTCCCTTACACGTGGCCCATCTGGCCGTGAGCTGGGGGGGGGGGGGGGGG